ACGCGTAACAAACCCCGGGTCCGCTGAGATATTTTCCGGGTGATGCACAGCAGGATTTTGAGCCTGGTACCAAGTTAACAACGACTTTATCATTGTATTATAAATTCATGTTATTTGGGGCGTCGAGGGATCGATATGATGAACCCGATGAAACCTATACTTTACATTCCAGATTTATAAAAGAAGCATTGTCACAATTCATTCTTGAGCTCTCTTGATAACGAATACCCATCGCTGAGTAATCGAGCAATCAAACAGTTGTCTGAATTTTCAACCAATTACCTCTAGCTTGAATTAAAACGAAGCAAATAAATTTACTGTTGGCCGCTGCCGAGCTACGTGTTGCAAATCCGTTTTTTGATGCCTCGTTTGCAGTCCTGTATTGGAAATTCTCACTGGAGTTAATTGTGTTTGCACATGATTTTTATATGTGAGATGTGTGCTTTTTTTACGCATAATGGGTTGTTATTATTTGATGTTTCACCCATTTAAAATTTTGCCGGACGCGAGTACATGTTATTTTATTTTACTGGTCCGCCAGGGTAGAAAGGTTGGGAACCACTGACTTAGAGTAACTTTGGTACTCTGCAGCTAGAATGCTACAGCGTATCAAAACAATAACTTTTTGAACATACCTGACAGTGCAGTTTCAGTTCGGGAACTAAACAAGTTATGTGAAGCCCTGACTCCAGCTCCCAATCACTAGATCCCATCAACAGATACCACAATTCTTTTCTACCGTAAAGGTATAGTTTATTCTTTGGTGATCCTGTTGTTGCCCTCAGCAAACCATGGGTTCCACTGTAACCATGCGCCATCAGAATTTGACATTTATTGCCCATTTTTAGCAGTCCACTAACGCCATCTCCGTGGCTACCGAGTCAGTGGTGTTCGGAGTCGACTTTTCTTTTGTTGAAGCGAGCGACTGCTGGTTACAGCAGATCGCCTCGAGATATATTTTTTTTTCTTAATTTATTTAAACTTAGTTCGACTCTTTATAATATAGTGTTAGACCTATTTTATAGGTGCCGCTGCTCGATAACCAGTATTGGTTTCTCGCGTCTCCTTCACCCTGAAATATGGCCTATTTATAATTTAATTTATTGCAATTTGTATGTTTGTGCCTATTTTAAGTATGGTGAGAAATAAACTACTGATTACTGATTGAACTTCACTAAATTCTGACTGACATTATTAATTTTGAACAGTCATACAACCAAAGGATAACTAAATTGCTGCGCTGCAATGCCGGGCAGCGTATCAGGTTTTGCGTATCGCACGGATGTATTTTGAAACCACAAGTAAAAAATCAGTGGGTAAAACTATTTTAGGGTGATACAGTCATTAAAGTTATAGTCCGCTAGCGCCGCCAGGGATGGTAATAAAGCAAATAGGGAAGTTTCAGCGTATGTATTTTATCAACCAACAAGTATGAAGTTCGTGAAAAAAAAAACTGTCTGCCTCACACCGTGTTTTCCCAAAAATATAACCTAGCCTGAATTTTAAAAATGATTTTTCATTTGATTTGTTATTTATAAACATCAGTTTTCATATTTTGTATTATTTTTTTTCTTTACTTTGTAATATTGTTTTGGATAAATAAAAATAAAAAACATCCTCCCAAAATAAGCCCTAGTGTTATTCTTCGAAAGAAAAGTGAAATAAGATTGTTGATAATTCAATGAAAAACAACTGATAAAGAACCAAGTGTTAATCATTTCAAGACTACGAATTTTAGCCGAGGAAACTCAAACAAAACGCCAAAATTAGCTAAACACGATTCAAAGTATTTTCATTCATGCCCATGTCTTTATATTCTTGATAAAACCTCTCAAATGCCCGCAATAATCTAAAATCACTGGAGCATGATTGGGGGGGTAAGAAAAAGAATTTCTTGAAAAAGTATTATTTTTTCCAAACGTACCTATGTATTTTGTTTCTCAATATCCTTATTCCGAGTTGCGCAAAATTCCAAACTCACTGGAGCGTTACAGGGAGGGGAAATCCCAAATTTCTGGTGGTGAAATATTCGATTAATTACTCCCTTCGAGATTTAGGCATCGCATTTCCCGGAGTCCTATTCCAAGTGCTCATAATTGTCCAAAATCAATAATACCAAAGTGGGCATGAATTCCCACATGATTTCTTACCACTGAGAAGCGGAACCACTGCGCCTACCCCCAATTAATTATACTTGAAAAAATTCTCAATACTCGGGCAAACGCTTTCTGGCCCCGGAAACGGAGCAAAAAGGCCTCTAAACCCCAAACTCACTCTAGTGCAGTGCTCGTCAACCGGGTGTATAATACACCCCAGTGTGTACCAAAAAGTTTGAAGGGTGTACCACATTAATAGGGTGTACTAGGGGTGTATCGTACCGACTGTTGTAGAGTACACACTATGCTTCTAACCCAGCAAAGACTTTCGATGGCTGCTAGTTTTAAAGATATCTTTTGGCTTGCGAATTTGTCTTAACTAACAGCCATATTCAAAATCAGTTAAAATTATCGAAGGGAAAGGACGTGATATTTTTTTGAAGCTTGTAGCAAGATTGAGCTTATTAAAATGGAATTGAAGTTGTGGCAGAATAATGTATCAAAATGTGATTTTTCCTATTTGGAATGTCTGGGCAATTTTTTTGAAGCTTGTCGATGGAAAAAAAAGCAAGATGAGATCAATTGTTCATACCTTGTTTTTTCGAAAATAAGGCCCAAAAGTAAGACCTAGCCTGGATTTTTAAAATGATTTCAATGTAAGCCCTTCCCCTAAAATAGGACCTATTCCAAGTCGGTAACGCATTTTTTTTTTACCTATTCGATAACAAGATAAATATACATTTCAAATGAGTGATAATTCTAAATTTAACAGTTATTATAAATAAAAACGTGTTATTTATGAGTAAGTACATTTAAAAATCTCGTAATTCTCTACGTTGTATTTTGTTTTTGATAAATGAAAATAAAAGACATTCCCCTAAAATAACCCCTAGTGGTCATTTTAGAGAGAAAATTAAAAAGGACCTTGTCTTAATTTTGGGGAAACACGGTAGGCATCTTGAATTGCTACTGCAAATGGTTGAAGTGAATGGTTGAAAAAAGAGAAATGCTTGCTCTCGACCAAATAACTGGTGAACTGCGTGAATTACGATCAGATCTTGTACAAAAGGCAGAGTTCAACGCATATAAAAACTACAACTAATTTTAAGCAGCTCTATTAGAAGTTCCCGAGTATCGCAATCTTTCACAAAAAGCATTCATCATTCTCGTCCGAATACCTACAGCCCTACGACATACCTGTCCGAACAAGGGTTGACTGCACTCATATAAATTAAATCCAAAAAAGAGCAAATGGCTGATGGAATCCAATAGCAACGGTCACATTAACATAATATTAAACTATTGAGTTAACATAAACATATATAACTTCTTAATACTGAATTTTTTACGTATTAAAAAATGTAGGACGGGCGGGGTGTACAAGATTTTAAGTAATGGTTGGAAGGGTGTGCCATTACAAAGAAAAGTTGACGAGCACTGCTCTAATGTGACTTGACTAAACTAAAAGCTCCGTTTTGGCCCGAGCCTGTATCACACGAGGCATAAATTAATGGACATTCGTGAAAAAACATTTATTGACATGAATGAATTGCATGTGATGAAAACTTCTGATCGCTTGCTGAAATGTCGTGGATCAGAAAATGGTAAAAATTAAATAAAAACGTGATTTGATAAACTCCCTTAGGTAATTTTGTATTGAGCTGTGGGTAAGAGTTTGCATGACTTCAACATAATTTTGAGGCCGATCCTTCAAACTTCTTTTAGTTCCATTTAGCCATCAGAACAAGTGAGTTGAGAAAATTTGATTCATAGTTTTCTTCTTGTTTCAAGTTTTGGGACAGACCCATCTCTGTGAATTCAGCAATAACCACCAACTATACATTCAATAGTGTTTGAAAGCACATACGGTATATGCTAATACTGATAGAGTCTATATATACAAACAATATAACAAAAGTACTGGTTATAGAATCGGAAAGACCCTCATGAATATCAAATCTAGAATAGATGATCTGAGACAAAAGATTGCCTGTTATGCGTTATTTCATTGGAGAATATGTTATAAGGTCCGGCACATACATCGAGTATATCTCGACCGGTTCGTTAGGTTACTGTAATTTCTAATAATGCAACGATGTTATTTGGAGATATTGATATGTATTTAAACCACTGCAGCATTTTCTGAATGCACCGCCCAATAGAACTAGCACGCGGTTTAAAATAGGTGCATAAAACGCTAAAATTGCCTTTAGACTAATGCAAAACCACGCCGACGAATTCTCACTACTACGTCATCAACGGGACATACTAATTTGCGTTCGATTTTGGCAGAGTTGACTTTTGAAAATTCAAGTGTTTCAAACGAAGTTCACTTTATGCAAGCGGTAAATGCCAAAAATCATATAGGAATTTGCTACAAAAATGTTTGCGTGATAACCACCTTTAAAGGGAAGTTTAGCAGTCTCGATTTGTATTTCTGCTTTTGAGCGACTCGTTATTTTCTAGTATATTAATAGGGTGCTTGTATTATTCCAAGCTTGATTGTAAAGCCAGTGTGACAATTGTGTCGAGCTTGTGTAAAAGAACGTCGCATATTGTTGATAATAAATTTGTTTGTGTATTTTGTTTGTTGGGTTGGCCGTTACTGTTACCAGTTTTGATATATTTTAGATACGTTAATTCTCATTTGTATTTATTTTAAAAAATACTGTTTGTTTTCATGTGCGGGGTAGACCAGGGTTACTGGCGAATGTCCTGTAATAATTAAAGAGCATCGAGTCAAAGTTGACCGTGTATGTGTTTGAGATTGTTTAGGTGTTATATTGAATGTCGCGTCGTCCTAAGTTTGATTTTGCTTATTCTAATTAGCATATAGTAGTCAACCAGTAGTGTACTAAAAGCATATTAAAAGGTAGTCGAATTGTCTGGCGCAGAAGGCTTGAAGACACGCAAACACACGCAAACGCATATATTAGCATAGTATATACCGGTACTTTAACTATTGAATCGATTGCATTTTTTCTACAGCAAAGTAGATTCTTCTTTTTATATTTAGTATTTAGCTATATTGCCATGGAGAAAGAAAACCCGGGGAACGACAAAAAGAGTGAGCAGGTCGAAGAACAAGCTCAATATCAAATACCTAAAGACAAAGGTAAGTGCATGCCTATTTAAAACTACATAGCAAAAATTGCACATCATGTTAATTATTTTGTTCTGCATTAATCAAGAAATAGGTAAATGCGTAACAATAACAACAACAATTTTTTTTTCTGAATGAAATACTATTAACGGTAATTTTATTTATTTTAATTTTTATGAACTACGCCATGTCTTTTCTCCTAACACGACTCGGATCGACGCTTACAAGCAATGCTATTATTGTGTATCTAATGTACAACCACGCACTGTTTGAAAACAATAGTAAACCATTCGCGAGGAGTTGGGTGTAAAGCTAGGTCCCAAGATAATTGACTCGTATACAAACAGAGTTAGTACAATTGAAATGTGGATATTTGAAGATTTGGTTTATTTATAGATGATAAAGATTTTGGTAAAGAAGCATCAAACATAAAATTAAAAACTGAAGATGGAGTTCAGCAGACTGAAACAGTGACAGGTAGCTATGATTCTTTTTAAACGCATGTTTAACTTGTTGCTCAACTTGTTTTAAGTGGGGATTTGAATTGAATTATTTCTCAAACTGGGGTCGATAGTTTTTGTAAAATCGGGGTCTCGATTTAGAGTCGCTTTGTTTAATACCCTGAACCTCAAGTCATTTTAATGAAATTCGATTCTCGAGTCGTTTGTCTAACCGGAGTTGGAGTCAATTTATTTGCTGGAACAGGATGACGAGTTGCAGTCGATCTGTTCGTCTAACCGGAGTTGGAGTCAATTTATTTGCTCGAACAGGATGACGAGTTGCAGACGATCAGTTTGTCTAACCGGAGTTGGAGTCAATTTATTTGCTGGAACAAAATGACGAGTAGCAGTCGATCTGTTTGTCTAACCGGAGTTGGAGTCAATTTATTTGCTGGAACAGGATGACGAGTAGAAGTCGATCAATTATTTTTATATACATGCTGTTTGTAGTCGAACTCGATTAGTTTGGATCTGGTTGGGTAGTAGTCGAATTGATTTGTCTAATCAATAATCACAAACCGAAATTTGTAAATTCTAAAATTGGAATTGATATTAATATAACTTGCAGACATTGAAGTTTTATGATCTGAGTTTTTCCTCATCGATTTTCGTATCAGGGAGATGGGAGTCCATTCATCCTATTTTCTCTACGACACCAAAGTCTAAATCTTTAATCCTATGAAACAGAGCACATTTACCTTTCAATCAACATCCAAGCCAGAAATATTTTGAAATCGAAGGTTGGGTCGTGTTCCACAAGCCGATATCTTATACCTGACAAAAAAATAATATTGGTGTTTGCCATCGTTTTTTCAACTTTCAACTTAACTATTTTTACAGTTCAAGAAGAAAACAGCGTCTTCAAAGCAATGGCTCTTCCATGCTACCCAGGTGAACACAGTACTTTTGTAGTTTTCGTATTCCGATCATTTACTCTTTGCTGTTGTATTTAGTGAAGTCGAGCCCAAATATATATGATTTTAGATTTTATACCAGGAATCTCTTCTTCATACGATCAGAAAAAAATGAGAAAAAATAGCTTAATATACGTTCTGAACACTATGTCTATGTTTTACTATAATGATGAAAAGATTCTGCTTCAAAAACGTGTATGAGTGTTATCAAGTTAATCATCAAAGTTTTTATTTCTAACTAAAGCTTACCAAACTTACCGATTGATTTGAATGCCATATATGAAATTGAATATTAATGCCTTTATTGAATGCCTTACGTAGAAAAGCACCTAGCTTTGAAAAGCAAATAGAATGCTTGTTGAATTTCACAATTAAAATTAGCAAAAATATCTATACTTCAAAAAGGGTTGAAAGCTTCAATCCCATGCTTAAATTATTATAGGAGTTATGATTGGTTGAATAGGCTATGCCGAACGGGAAAATAACTTATTTGTATAGTTTAACCCGCTGCAAATACAGATTTCGAACTTGACAATTTAATATGTTTAATAGATTATTAAGAAAGTTAGGATATTTCAACTCATAAATTATTGCATGGCAGGTGCTGTTGTTGAAAATCCTGGCCCGGATAATTGTGAAATAATGAAAGGTGAGAACAAATATTTTTGGGTTAATTTTAGTGGATATAAAATACCTAAGTTATATTGAGCAGCAATATCGATAAACAAAAAAATCGTGTTTTGAAACGCGCTGTAGAACAATGAAAATACGGTACTGTAAAGTGTCACTTCAGACGTACAGGAAAGGAATTGCTGACTAACGAGGAAAAAGGCGCGCAATATGATTGAAAATAATTAGCCATTCAAATTACTAATATGCACTAACATATTGATTGATGTTTTATTCCGACCCTTAGATTTCTATGACAGCCATGAATTTCAATTCGGCAGTTTAGTGAGTTTTCAGTTCTTGAAAAATCTGAACAAATTTCATGATTGAAGTAATGATGTGTTTTTTTGCATTTAGTGTTAGAAAACATACAACAACAATTGAATGCGTTAACCACAACTGTTGCTAACATTCAGCGTGGTAAGTCGATCTCATATTCATAAATTAAAGCTGCGATTTTTTAATATACTACGCCTCGTACTACTTGTATTGTTAAATACAAGTAGTACTACTTGTAAAATTGTTGTAAAACTAGGTTTCAATACAAAACTTTTGTCTTTTCAGCATTTTTCTCTCTAATACTGTACAATCATGGTGTGCACTATCGCTTCTAGTCAAGTTACAGCCAAGGTCGTATATGGCAAAATACTCACCAACCGCGGTACCAATAATCTTACCTCCTGTTTTTTTTCAGATGCTGTACTTGCAAGGCAACCAGCTATAAGGCCACCTCCTCCTGATCCATTAGCTATTGCTGGACCTTCATTACCATTATCTGGAGATCAGTCACAACAATTTCAGGGAGATGAAGAGTGGGCCATATTGTTACCACTAGCAGAGCAATTGGCAACTGGACCACCACCAGTTGGAAATCGTCCTTCCAGCGCATCAGCATCCGGTGGTTTGAGTATACAACCATCGCAGGCACGGGATCCTATTCATGTAAATCGTCTTGCAGACGCATCAGCTTCCGGTGGTGTGTGTATACAGGCAGCAGCTTCTATTTCTGGAAATCTCCCTGCATTGTCAAATAGTTGTAATGTTGATTCGTTTGTTGAACAGTCTCAAGAAGTCCAACGACCTTCTGGCATCTCTCCGTTAGTTAGTTCTGTACGATCTGCCGCACACCGTAGATTCAATCGCGATCGATGTAATCCTTTTTAATCCTTTTAACAGTTGGACACGAAACGGACGTACGGGATTAAAAATTATTGTTGTTCTTCAGTGAAAAATTCAGTTTCAGTATAATGGCGTCACCCTGTAGCCAATTAGTTGTTATGTAACTACAAAACTACACCAAATTGGCCCAATTCGTGAGAAACTCATGAAAACCAAAATTAATTATTCCCGTTATAGCAATTATCAATTTCTCAAAATCCAATTTCAAGATTTAATAGCATTTCGGTGCCATCCCATGTAAAAATAAAATTTATTTCCAGTAATATTCCAATAACGTAAATTCGAAATATCTTGTTAAAACCAAATTATCCACTTGAGAACAATTTTTTACATCTCATAATTGGAGTAAGTACGTGACCAGGAACACGGTGACTGGCAATAACAAGTTAATTGCTAGTAATGAACTTCAAGAAAACACTTTTTAATAATGTTTGATTATAGTGAACCGAAAGCTAACCAGAAACCGGAATGACGCGTGATTCTTTAATCGTTAATGTAAAAATCTGTTTCTTTATTCTATTTTAATTGCTTGGTAGAAAGCTATATATTCAGCAACGTGTTTTGTTTTAATCAGACTAGATTTGATCAAATTGTGTGTACATTGTATTTCTGTATATATTGTCGGAATTGCAATAAACTCAAAAGGTGTTTTCAAACGTCTCCTTACTACAGCCGAAGGCTATCGACAGATAGACAAGAATTTTTCAGAATCTTCTCCTCTAATTGGGTTTATTCAAGAAAGCACTGATAGGGTTTCCGAGGTAATAAACAAATTGACAGCAGATATTAATTATTTGAAATGCCAAATTGAAAGCATTCTAACCACTAATATTAAACTCCTATCTAAACAATACCCCGGTAAGATCCTAAGTCAGTTACTAGGTGGGAACAGAGCAGCTATCACCGTGGGTGATATATTGACCGAAATTGAATGCCAACGTATTAACGTTACCGTTCTTAGGAACCTCTTTTTACAGGTAAATATGCTACCCGACCTTAGTGCACTTTATTAATAATAGCAATGAAACGATCATTGCACAAATATTCCCTGATTCTAACGCTTATTTGGGTATTCATTTTTTTGAAAATTATACGCCTGGTCGTACATTTACGTTTCAAATTGACGGTCGGTTCTATAACTACGTCAATTATACTTTAAATCATGCGGATATGCATGTAAAATTTCTGAGACCCACATTCAAGCCTTTTGTCGACAATTTTAATCCTATCGATTACAATGAAGCATATAACGAATTACCAAGGGGACACCAGGGTTATGATGATATTAATAATATGTTATTATCAATCAGCCACATTAACCTTATTCGAGAACGAATATTAAGTGAGTAAACCCTACCTAATGCAGATAGCACATCAGACACTGATACTGATGCTATCTCACATGAAGTGCAAGACACTTTTGTTCATGCCCTCTCCTTCATTAAGACGTCAATCAGGTTTATCAGGTATTTATATGCTCTTATTCCATTTATCTCTCATTTGGGCCACTATTTGGACCGTTTGTTTTATCAAGAAACTTTGCCCAAACTGAGAGATGAAGGACTTCCTAGAATACAACGGCTTCGGCAATACTTGGCTGCTCGCAGGGAACAAGTGAACCCTGTTGAAACACCTCAACCTCTTGTGCAAAACAATAGACAAGATCAAGGGGGTCAAATCTATCAATCTAGATCAAATCCCAATAATAGATCCAATTCGAACTTATACCCTAGTCTGGCAGACTAGTCGAATAGCAATGCTCATATTGTACATATATATTATACTTTAACATGATTTCTTTCTAACAAGTGTTTTACGAAGAATTAAATACTTCGTGCATTTACATCAATACCTATAACAATAATATACCTCATGTATAACTATTCTCAGGAATAACTATATTTAATTCTACTTTATACAGCTTAAAATTTATTTTTATTTTTAGTTGAATTTCATGAATAAACAGCACGTCATTTCCGCCTTCTCAGCCCCAATTGCATCCTTAGAATTCTCCGAACTCCTGCGGGGGGTTAATGTAGCCAATTAGCTTGTTATGTGACTACAAAAACTACACCAAAATTGGCCCAATTCGTGAGAAACTCAATAAAAAACCAAAAATTAGAATTTATTCCCGTTTATAGCAACATCAAATTTCTCAAAAACTCCAATTCCAAGAATTAATAGCCATTTCCGGTGACCATCCCATGTAAAAAATAAAAATTATTTCCAGTAATATATCCAATGAAACGTAAATTCGAAATATCTTCGTTAAAACCAAATTATCCACTTGAGAACAATTTTTTACATCTCATAATTGGAGTAAGTACGTGACCAGGAACACGGTGACTTGGCAATAACAAGTTAATTGCTAGTAATGAACTTCAAGAAAACACTTTTAATAATGTTTGATTATAGTGAACCGAAAGCTAACCAGAAACCGGAATGACGCGTGATTCTTTAATCGTTAATGTAAAAATCTGTTTCTTTATTCTATTTTAATTGCTTGGTAGAAAGCTATATATTCAGCAACGTGTTTTGTTTTAATCAGACTAGATTTGATCAAATTGTGTGTACATTGTATTTCTGTATATATTGTCGGAATTGCAATAAACTCATAAGGTGTTTTCAAACGTCTCCTTACTACAGCCGAAGGCTATCGACAGATAGACAGTTCGAGTTAACGAACGCAAGACAAAACTATTGTCAGTCAATGCTGGGGTTATAATACATAAACCAGACCAATCTACAAACAATCTATGTGTAGTGGTAACTAATCACTATAACCCCATTACCCGTTAGCAAGTGTTGTCGTATCAATTTCTGTGCCTAACCAACGCGGAAGAATGATGTTTCCTTTGACGAAATAAAACTCATGAAAATCTGAACCAATACATACTACTGTCGAAATGCCGGATGATTTATTCGTATATGTTTTAGACTCTTTTCATCGTTGCGGACCCCCGTTTGGGAAACTTTGCGTTAGTGTACCTGAATTGACGCGACCTCAAAGTAATGGCGAAGATCTACACTGGGCGTCTGTCGGCTTGTCAGTCTGTCTGTTTGGCCTGCTGTAGCGTCCAAACGGCTGGACAGATATGGATCCAAAAAATATCACATGGGTGATTCTGTCACCTTAGTATGCATTTCACCAATTGATGTTTCGTTCCTTGGTCAGACTTTATCGGACACATACGTGTTAGTGTCAATTTTATTTTCAATTTTTCCTGCTTTCTCAAATACAATCTCTATGAATTTTTCTGAATTTATATCGATATGTTTTGAAAAATTCGACATGTATTCGACATCCAAAATATCCAAAAAATGTATTTTAGAATGTATTTGAAATGGCATATAAATCGGTTTAAAATAATACTTGAGTTCTTCCCCTCGGGCGTTAAGCGATATGTGCAGAACCAATAAAGAGAATAAACGATACCTGAATATTCTTTTCGAAACCTGTATTTTATAGCATGTATTTGTATTTCTTTGTAAAATAATATTTAAATTTATCAACGCTTCAGAATTGTGTGTACCAATATGGAGGTAACTAATTTTGTTCGCCTACTTCACATCAAGTTGTATAAAGGGACTAAAACCTATGGGCAAGGGGTATATTCACTTGCATAGCACAGACAGTCCCCGAACTCGTAATAGAACTAAAATAAGGAAAATCGAAAAAATATTATGGCCTAACCCTAACCTGGGACATATACTACGAAAGTAACATTTATTGTGCTATGTTTCCATCCTTACATTAATAAATATCCTCAGTATACATTTATCTCCTTTTTTAATTGCTCTACCAACATTTTAGGACGTCTATTACTACTAAGATATTAGGTAAACTCAAGCTTGTATTAGAGAAAGAAGAAACGCAAAAACTAGACGTGCAACTATAATTTAACTAGCCATGTAAATGAACATAATCTTAAGGCAATCCTATTTTTGACCTCAAAATCGTCTTGAGTTGTGAAATTTCAGAACATTGTAAGAAACGAAACACTTAACTATTATTAACAAAACTTAAACTAATTTGTATGCTGGTATTTACTAACTTTACTGACAACGATGAATACACAACAAACCTAGTATCCACAGTAGTAAAGTACACCGAGAAATAAAACAACAACAATAATCAAAATTTTGAATTCACCAGGAAGAATGCAATCAATGTAAACAAGGTATGAATAATCAATG